GACAGAACGAGATTGGAATCCATGAGACTGATCATGTCGGATTGTTCGGTTCGAACCTAATTTAAGTTCGAAAGAGGCTTGGATTCGACTCGAAGGAGTCACGAGTTCTGATCTTAAGTGAAACTGAAAAGAGCTTAATTAATACGAGCGATGAATAGACGAGTAGCAAACTGGGGGTGGGTGTGGGGGAGGGAAGTTTGTTCCGAATATCTGAAGAACACCGGGCCAACTGTCGTTCGTTCTACTTTCGACTTGATGAATATAAATCGCGCACGGGGCGAACCGCTTGGTCGGGCGATTGTTGTTCAAAAAGTCTATAAAAGATAAGACGAATTCTAAATTTGATGCATATCCGATTTCCGAACCGCGCCGTTTGTTTGCAAACTGTGCGCGCACACGTAAAATGTAGGTCTACCGGGAGTGACGTAAAAAAATACGAGCGAGCCGGATTTGTGATTGTAAAAAAAAAAAAGAAGAGAAAAATTCGCGCATCGGCCTCTCTATAAACAGGCTGGCGCCGTTATTTTCGTTGCGGCGGATTGTAAAGGTGGGTTATAAACGCAACTGACCTCTCCAATTGCGCGTTCTATTCAGCGCCGCAGCCATTGATCTAGCTAGCCGTCGCGACGCGACGCGGGATCCACAGCTGCGCGCACGTTTAAATATAAATGAAACAAACTCCCGTTCCCCTTCTCGATCCCCCCCCCCTTCCCGTACCCATTCCTTCCGCGCCGTGATCGCGTTTAACGGCTTGGACAATCGCCGGATTCCGTTTTTCAATCGTACACGATTACCGCTCCCGGTGAACAAAAAGGTTCGTACAATCTCCCAGTCCAAAGTCACATTCCGCCGGAAAAGAATTAGGGTTCTCGTTCAGCGAAACAATTGCTTGCTTTGCTTCAAACATGGGACACGGCTCGATTCTTTGAGAATAAATGCGAAAAGCGAGATTACCGCTCTACCCGCACCGTCGACCTGGAATTTAATCCTTTAACTACGGCGCACTTTCGCAGAGAACAGTCAATATAGACGGTGCGACTGGTTGTCCATTGACTAAAATCCACAGTCTTTCAGTTTTAATTAACACTGAAGTTACCATGCGTCAGTCAAGTGACCGTTTCTAAATTCTTTCATCAGGAATAAAATGCAAAAAAAAGTCTGGTCATATTATTATAGCTGTAATTATTATTTAACATGGTACAAAACGTAAGTATCAATGCTAACACGAAATTCTAGTCACATGTAAAAAATATAAA